GAAAATATATATTCATGCACACTGTAAAAAGACTGCAGCCATCTACACAGGTTTGGCTTGCTCCAGCGCCCTCACGCTGCCCCTTTTCATTCTACTGCCCCCCTCAAAAATGAAATCGCCCCCTGGGGGGCATTATCGCCTACGTTAAGAACCACTGGTCTAGGGTATCTGCAGAGTTCTCCTGGAGCACCATATTTCAGATTTTTTCCTGTGAGTTTTCTCCACTGTCCAGTTTTCTCACCCACAGAAAATGATCAGGAATACAGTAGTGTGAATGATCTCAGTCTTGGTCTTCAATGACACATCACTACACTTTACGATATTTTCTAATTCCTTCATTGCTACCTTTCCAAGTCTTGGTTGTCTTCTGATTTCTTGGCTGTAGCCTCCATTTGGATTGATGATTGAAACAAGGTATAGAAGATATTTCAATCTGTCAATCTCTTCATTGTTGATGTTAAAGTTATGAAGTTGTTCTTCAATTTTCTTAATATTCAAATGCTTTGGCACTTCCATTTTTACTAAACGTTATATCGTTATCTCAAGCCATTGCTGCTCTCTGCCAATAAGATAGTGTTATTTCTGCATCTTAAATTATTTATGTTCTTCACTCCTTCATTTGAATCTGTTGAGGCACATCTGTCTTTTCAGAACAACCCATAGTTTTTTTATAATCGAAACAGCCAAAGATTTTGCTGTAATCTATAAAGCATAAACTGATCTTCTGAAATTCTTTGATGCACTCCAGTAGCAACCAGATATTTGCTGTATGATCTCAAGTTCCTATTCTTTTTCAGAATCCAGCTTGAATACCAAGCGTTTCTCACTCTATATAAGGTAAAACCCTTTGTTGCATACACCTTGAGCATCATTTTGCTTGCATGGGAGATTAGACGTCTGGTCCCATAGATACTGCACTCCTTGGTGTCTCTTTCCTTGGGGATTGGAATATGTATTGAATGTGTCCAGTTGGTCGCCACTGTTCTGTTTTCCATATTTGTCGGCATATCCTTGTTAGGATTTTGACAGATTCAATCTCTGTGGTTTGGAATAGTTCTATCAGTATTCCCTGGTGATTTATTTCTTCCCAGTGCTTTCAGAACAGCTTTCATTTCACTTTCTGAAATTGCAGATTCTTCCTCGAATTATTCCTCTTCAAAAGAGTCTGTCATCCTTTCATCTCTTCTGTATAGGTCTTCAGCATACTGTTTCCATCTTTTCTTTATTTTCTCCTGATCAGATAGTGTGCTTCCCTGTTGGTCATTCAGCATTCCTAATCTAGGTTTGTTTGTTTATAAGGCTTATATACTGCCCGACATAGATCACTACTTGGAGCGGTTTCCATAACATGAACCAAAATCATATAAACCCAAAATAAAAGTAAAATGGTCCTTCATCTCCCCAGTGAAAACAATCAAACATTAACTATATATAAGGTGGCACCTCTAATGATAATAAATCCCTAACAAAATTACAGTAAACAAAAAAAATGCAAAGTAAATAAACACAGTACAACAAAACAGAACAGAATATAACAAAATACAGGTCATGAATCAATATGGTAGGATGTTGCTAAATCAGTCTTCTAAAAGTTTGTAGGAAGGAGGCCTGTCTCACTTCCAAAGGAACATATAAACATTGCAATGTTTGGTCAGACGTTGAACTATTGCCTCTGTCTGTCCTATATCTTGCCCCAGTGTTTCTTCAGAGTAGAAGAGTTGCAACATAATGAGTTTCAACTAGAGATCTGGTGGAAGATTAGGAGCAAATACAAAGGGCTAGTCGTGGCTAATTTTGCATAAGTGTAATTTCATCTGATACTTTAATATAGGCTGTTATGCTTTGCACTTTTCATTTCACCATTGTATTGTGTTAGAAATTCACCATTGTATCATCTCTGGTTTGCCTTTCACTCACTGGAGCAAATAAAGAACCTCATTTTTAACATTCGCTAACTTTTGTTAGTACCGCATAGAAGGAGTGTCCCAGATCGGAAAGGACAAGTATGAATAGCACTGTCATTAAAGGAAAAGGGATGTGGTGGTGCTGTGGGTGAAACCGCAAAGCCTCTGGACTGCAAGTGCTTTCCAATTAATTTGAAGATCATAGCAGATAATAAGATCCACAAAATGAAGGCACAATATAAAAGAAATAAATGGAAAATCAATGAATTTCTGACACTACTATGGTGAAATGAAAAGTGCAAAGCGTAACAACCTATATTAAAGTACAGTGGTGCCTCGCACAACGAGTGCCTCACACAACGATAAATTCACACAGCGATGGCTTTTCCTGAAAAATTTGCCGCCTCACACAACGATGTTTCCTATGGGGAATTTTCGCACAACGATGTCCCTTTTCGCTCCTGTAAAAGTGCCTTAAACTGTTTGAAAAGTGTTTTAAATGCTTGCAATCATTAGCCCACCTCCTGAAACGTATGCAAACTGAATTTGGTGTTGTTCTGAGTCTTCGTTAATTTTTGGTGATTTTTTGTTTTCTCCATTGAAAGCCATTGGACAGACCGTCCAATGGCTTTCAATGGAGAAAACAAAAAATCACCAAAAATTAAGG